GATGATATACAATACAAATAAACCAACGACGAAGCATTCGAATATTGTAAAAAATACTCGAATGCACAAACAATGATAACTAGAATGAAAGAAATAGAATCTGAAAGATAATTAAAACCTGAAACAAACAGAAAGAATATTAACGCGAACCTCCCGAAGTCGAAGCGACAACTGGCTCGATCCTTCACGCGGGCACCTTATATAGCGGCGGCCGACCGAAGATCGGCGAAAATTTCCGAACTTTACCGATTCCTTTAAAAGTTACTTTTTCGCTGTAATAACTAACAATTTATTAACTTTTTTGACTTTTATCGTTAATATTCGTTGCAAACTATTTGTTATCAATGATTTTAATTTGTTATTAGCAATAAATTTAATGTTTTATTAACTTTTTTTAAGTTATGGATATATTTTAACACGAATATGTTGTTTGTTTAAGTTGGACCTAATAATTTATTAACTTTTTTGACTTTTATCGTTAATATACGTTGCAAAATATTTGTTATTATCAATTTTAATTTATTATTACAATAAGAGTAGAAATTTATCAGCTTTATGCAAATTTTGCGCAAATACGTTATATATACTAGTAATAGCCTATAATTTAGTAATTTTTCCACTTATACTATAAATTTACGTTGTGAACAATTTGTTATTAACAATAAGTTCATTAATTAATAAATCTTTTCCAAATTATAGGCACATTTTAACATTAGTATGATATTTGTCAAGTAATAACCGAAAATTTATTAATATTTTTTAGTTTTATCTTTAATATACGTTACAGAGAATTTCTTACTAGCAATATTAATTTGTTATTAACAACAAGTGTAACAATTTATCAAATTTCTGTAAATTATAGATTGCAAATTATAGGCACGCTAACACATAGAAGTTATATGTACTAGTAATAGCCAATAGTTTAGTAATTTTTTCAATTGTATTATAAATTTACGTTGTGAGCAATTTCTTATTAGCAATAAATGTAATAATTTATTATCCTTTTGCATATTGTAGGTATATTTTAACATTAGTACTTTATAGATTCAAGTAATGACCAATAATTTATTAATTTTTTACTTTTATTATAAATTGACGCTGTGCACAATTTATTATTCGTGATATTAATTTATTATTAATAATGAAATTTGTACATTATACTTAACTTGTAGTACTTACCTTAAATACTTACCTTGATTTATCTCGATTTATGTATTAATTCTACAGATATTGCCCGCTCTTTATTTTCATATTTCAAAGCGAACATTGAAAATTTACAAGAGATAGGAAATATCTTAAACTTTGTGCGTAGTTCTTAGCTTGGTATCGTTTCCCAAAGATTTCACTTTCTTCGGACTCCCACCCTTCGCGCACAACGAAAATTTAAATGTTATACTCCCGAAGTCGAACCGACAAATGAATTTTTCTGTGTCGCGTCGCTCCTTATGTAGCCGCTGATCGGCCGAGCCCCCCTCCACGATTGCAAATTTTCATACTTTACCGATTACATTATTTATTATTTTTCCGCTTTAATAGTCAATAATTCATTAATTTTTTCACTTTTATTATAAATATACGTTGAGAGCAATTTGTTATTAACATTATTAATTTGTTACTAACGATAAGTATTATAATTTATAAATTTTATTTATGCTTTTAGAATATAAATGGCTGTGATGCATATATGTGAAGTATTTTTATGCTTCATGCAATTTGTTAATAACAATTTCAATTTGTCATTAATGATAAATTTCATAATTTATACATTTTTTATAAATTATAACTGCATTTCCACTTCCATACGATGTATTTCCATGATATATCCATGGTATGTCAACATATCTGTATTTCCTCTCTATTTTTGGGAAAAATGAAATATTACGCGAAAAGCAAAAATGTTACAAGATTCATCATCGTTTTAAAAGTTGAGTGGCAATTTATCATTTAACAATTTTATATTGCAAAGTTATTTTGCAAATTCAAAACAAATTCCAAGTTTCTTTAATTAATACTTTAACATTTATAGCTGCACAGCAAAGTTGTAATTACAGGCAACATTCTTATACAGCGTTTAATTTACTAATTAATATTTGCACGAGCTATAGGTTTTTGAATTTCCTGTATCTAATTATTATTTATATTTTCGTTTTCTTTCTGTAGTTAATAAGATTGCTATAGAAAACTGTCTTTCTTGCATAATGTTCTTATTACTTTGTTATTAATATATACTAGCATAAGAAAACGTAAAGAATAAATTTTTTTAAGGAATTTTATTTACAATTGTTTATTTACAATGTTTTCATAGGCGAAAAATGAGTACAAAATAAAAAATAAATTGGAAAAATACCAAAACTATGAAGGGGAATTGAACCCCTGTCCTCCAGCATAAGTATTGTTGACTGTCGCCATTATACTACAACTCCGTTTGAAAAGTATTTCAAACAAAGATATAATAACAGAAGGAGTAATAAAACTTTGATCTTAAATATTTCAAAAACTATTTAGTAGTTGCGAGTATAATGGTATATTTTTTTAAACTGTATGATGGTATCTACAAACCTACAAAGTTTCAACTAAATCGGTGACCCGAAGGACTTACATTCCTTGTTAGTCCAGTACAGAACAGGCGAATTCTTAGATAGCCAAATGATTTAAAGAATGCTTCGTACACATTGAAATTTGGGATGTACCACGCATTTGTTCAGTCATATATTAATGCCAATTAATAACATAGACTGATATAACTTTATAACTGAAGGTTCTCATGTTAAAATTACAGCATTTCAAAATTACTGTTTAAGTTAATTGTTTGATGAGCTGTATAAAGAAAAGCAAATATTATAGACAAAGAGAATTTTGTTCCACTTTCAATTATAAAATATTTCATCTCATACATTATTTATAATTTCATACTGAAATTTCGTTTTAATTCCGATCACTATGAACATTGTCATTTTATTCTTCACTGGATCGGTAACGTTGGGAATGACACGAAAATGGTATTGGGGCTACAGTGCTGCTAGTATCTTCAAAACTATCTGTATACATCATTTATTTTTTTTGTTACTTTATAATAGCATTAATAATTTCATATCTATCTTAATGTATGGTCTCATCAATGAATCCTTGGTTCTTCAAAACGATAAAAATTTCTTTTATCAATATATAATTAACCATAGACATAGCAGAATATAGATGTATCAGTTAATACGTTATAGTATCTCGCATTTCATAGGCTTTGAAGATTCTTATCGTTTTAGCGTTATTTCCAATATAATCAATTCAGTATAAAATGATATTTGGAGGAGGTTGTATGCGATTGAGTGAAAGACAGAAATAGTAACTTAATTCTATACTCTTATAATATGGTATAGAAATTCATCGGATCTTTCATCTATATTATATTTCTTCTATGATGATGTCATTGTTTTAGGTTTAAAAATGGCGGTATGAAATGTAACATGCTGTGTTTTGGGTTATAACGTAAACGATATTTTCATTTTACAAAGGTTGTAAAATATGTTGTTTCGATTTTGTTACATTGTTCGCAAAACGACTGATTCGCCGTTTGAGAAAATTACAAGACATTATGTAATTGCGTAGTAAAATTTTAATTATTTTGTTTCATATGCTTTGCGTTAACTACATACATATGAATTTTAATTTAGGCAAGCGCAAAAGTTCACTCTCGGCGGGCAGAAAATGAATTGATCGATAAAGAAGAAATAGAAAAGCAAAAAAGAAAAATACCGATAATAAAAAGCAAGAAAAAATTGTATGATTTTTACATGGGTGATCCACTAACCAAAAAGAATTTAACATTGGCTTGTCATGGATGGATGAATAGAAAAACCAAAGGCGATTATTTCTCTATATATCCTTATGACAGTGTATGTTTTATTTACAGTAATTTTTATTCCATATATATTATAATATATTTCTCAATTAGAATTTCATTTTTAGAACAACAAAAATGTCAATCAAGAAACTGATCAAAGAACATTTAAGGATCTCGATGTAGATATTTCTGTATGTAATCAGTTAGAAAATATGGATATATACAAACCTCTAGAAATTCAAAAGTTAGGAATACCAAAAATTTTTGAAGGACGTAATGTATTATTAGCAGCCGAAACTGGATGTGGGAAAACAATGGCTTATCTCCTACCATTGGTAACTAAAATTTTGACATGGAAACAGAACACGCAAAGGAATATAAACAGTCCACTAGGTTTAATAGTGACTCCATCGAGAGAATTAGCAGTGCAGATTGCGGTTAGTAATAATAATTTAATCCTGTGCTTTCATTTGTGTTTTCATATTTATAGTAATGTTAATAACGTTTTAAAAGTATATATTATTTCCTATTAGTTGGAATTGATTAAACTATCTAAACATCTTGGCATTAAAACAAAAATAATCACTGGTGGGAAAACAAAAAGAATAATATTAAATCCTCCTGTGGATAGCGTCGATGTTATTGTTTGTAGCTTTGGAGTTATTAGTAAATTGACAACATTTGGCATTTATGATCTCAGGTTTATAAGATTCGTTGTCTTAGATGAAGCAGATGCCCTATTTCATGAAACATTTGAGACAAAGCTGAAAATATTTATGAGAAGAATATTTGTACGTAAAGTAGAAGAAAAAAGTAATATTCCATGATATAAATGTACGATATAAAATTTTTTTAATTCATATAGGTTGGATATCGTCATAACCCAATAGGGGATGAATATCCCAGTACAGCTCAAATTGTTTTAACTTCTGCGACGATTCCTTCACGACTGAAAAATGTGTTAATCGATGTTCTAAACGTAAGTGGTATCCGTACGACTTTTAGATGATTATTATTTTAAAAGGTTGTACTAATTTGTTTATAGCCAGATTCGATAGAATATGTAACAACGGAAAAATTGCATAAAATATTGGTTCCACAAAAATTTGTAAGATTAATCCCAAGTCAAAAACCAGAAGAACTACTGAAATATGTAAAACCGAAAGCATTCAGTAAACAGCGTGTAATTATATTCAGTAATCAAAATAGTACCTCTCATTGGGTTTCTTCGTTTTTGTACGATTGCGGTATCAAAGTTACAAATTTACATGGTGATATGCATTTATCCGAACGACGTGGAAAGTACGGAGAATTTTTAAATGGTAAAACAGTAGTGCTATCTACGACAAATGGAGGATCCCGAGGTTTAGACACGCTAATGGTTAATTATATTTTAAATTATGATTTTCCGTTAGATACAGCTAGTTACATTCATAGGTATCTACTTTATATAAATCTTGTACTATATGCACGTATACATTCTCTGTTTAAGGACATTAAAATATTACACGTTTTATTCAGATGTGGTAGAACTGGTAGAATAGGTACCACAGGTGTTTCAAGTGTGACAAGTTTTATTTCCAAGCCGGGAGAAGTCGCTGTAGTTAAAAGGATTGAAATGGCAGCTAGAAAAATGAAACCGATACCTATATTTAATATCTTTGAATCAGACAACGAAGAAGAAGTAGTAGAGGAAGAAATAGGAAATGACTACACGGAAGTAATAACCGAAAATCTAGACGATGTAGATAATATTCCTTATTGAAGATTGTTTATTTGTTCTTTTGTATGTATATCATGTAAATAAAAATATTTTCAAGTTTTAACACTTTCTTTTCGTATTCCGCCTATTTACCGTGTTCACTGATTTGGAAAGTCTTCTGTGAAGCCTTTGCAGTGAGTCCCGATAGGATTAAAGAATCGACTGACCGTCGATGCCTCTAAATCTGTCTGATTCTATTCAGGGTTCGATTAATTATTTGTCATATTCGATAGAGATAAGAGAAGGTTAATGAATTGGTCGCAACGTTTAATTTAATCGATTGTTGATCGAACAAAGTGAGTAAGAAATTAGTGACTTAAATTGACTATTAAACTCGTATACATCCATTTACTTGGAATCGAATCATTTTATGTCCTAAATTTTAGAATACCATTTTCTCTTGCTTCGTGGAAGGAAGCCTTAGGCCCACACGTGCGTTTCCATTCATCCGTCGATCCAATGTTCCGTCATGTCCGGCGGCACTCCCACACTAACCGCCCACGTATCGCAAACAGAACTACTATAATCCAGACTGTACGTCTAGACCAGTTTATTACACGCATTGTGTTTTAGCGAAATTAAGCGTGCTTGCTCATGCTGACATTCGTGTCTCTTTGTAAAGGGTGTGTCGTACAATAACGTTTTCGTAATAACCCGAATGATAACTTTGTCGTATAATATTTACCGTACAGGTGAAAATTCTCTATGAGTCGAATCGTTCTCGACCCCGTAAAAGTATTTACAATCATAAAAATACAAACATCGACAAAATACACCATGCAAACGTAGTAAAATAATTTATTTTTCTTTTTTTACTCGTTTTGTAGGAAACTGCAAATGTCTTTCTGACGAAGGAAAAAGCTGTGGAAAAGATGAAGCGGAAACGGAAACGCGACGATTAGTCAGAAGCAGAGAGGACGAAAATGGATTAATTAGCGTGGGTAGCTGCGTGTCACGTAGAACACGTACAGAAATTGGATAGATAGACGGGAATGAGAAAGAAACTTTTGTTACAGAGTAAGAAGCAATTTATGGGAATTCATAATTTCCGACAAACGAATACACTTTGGTCGAAATGTAAAAATAACAACGCGATTGCTTGGAAAACGATTTTCTAACAGCTTCAATCCCTCGTACATATGGTATAGTATAGCATATAGTGTATGCTATATACTAATTCAATCTTAATTGCCGTTAAAGAATCAGACACGCCTGACGATCGAAACCCGTATACCAGAGAGTCAATTCGTCGAACTACGGTTAGAATGGACGAAACTGGAGCAAATGATTACACGATACCGAAAATATTCTAAAATTTCTACCGTTAGATGGAAATTGAAGGAAAAGTAGGAAGTTGGAAAGCAAATAACGAAAGAACGGGAAGCAGCGTGCACCGTCGGTGGTGTGGCAAAGCGCGTAGCAGAAAGAAAGAAATATTTGATTGGTTCTCGACCGTCGGCAATTTATCGTCGCGTAACGAGCGCTATAGTTGCAAAGAGACGCGGACGTCGAAATAGAGTGGAGTGGGGATCTCGGTGGCCGTCGTAATAGAAGCGAACTCAGTCGTTCCGCGGCGCGCAACCTGTTAGCGTTATGGTGTCTGGTGTACCGCGTTCGATTTCGTTTCGTTCGAATTTTTCCTATAATTTCTCGCTTCGAAGAGGAGATGTCGTCAGACAGTGATTCATCGGTTGATTCTTGAAATGTTAAACGCATGTCGCGTAGAAATAATTGGAAATTCTATCCACGGGGATAGGAACGAAAGGTAGATAGATCGCGGATCGACACGCCAGGTCCGGGTTGACGAACCCTCTGAAAGAGGCGGACACGTCCAGGTTCCGTAAAAATGCAGCGCGTCGTGGAAGCGTTTGGTTAATATACCTGCGGGATATACCTGCGAATGACGCGAACGTTATCCAGGAAGGAACGTAGGGAATAACGAAAATCGGATCGAACGAAGAGAAGAATCGTGCGTCGTGGTTGCGTTGCGTTGGAAGTCGAGAAAGGAGAGCGAACGAGGGGAAAATCTCGACGTAATCGAAAGCACGACAACGTCGACGAAGACGAAGACCTGGATCGTTACCGCAGGAGGAATCGAGTTTCGATCTCGAACGAAAGGATTTGGAAGCTCGGCGAGCAACTGTCGTAGCGCGAGTGATGGTGCGCGGCGAAGTATAATCGGTTCGCAGCGGCGAAATATATCGCGAGTTGGGACAACGCGTTTCGTAACGATACACCTGATCGATGGTCGATCGTTGCCGGCGAATCGAGTGATATGTGCAAAGAGAACCCGAGAAAAATCGGTAAGAAAGACGGATGTATGGTTAAAAGGTGCGTACTGGAGGAGTAGTGCGCGGAGACGATTTCGTTTATCTCGCATTGGTAGAAAGACCCGGAAGCCGTTAAATTGGAGAAGAAGCGAGAAAGCGGCGTGCCGCTTTTCTGTGTACCGCGGCAGAGGCGATCATCGCAGTCCGAAAATGTAAGTTTCCTTCAGGTTTTACTCGGTGATAGCAGTCTATCGCGAGTGGACCGAAGCACCGGTCTACCCGATGGAATTCAAACGAAATCGAAACGAAATTTTATTTACGATATCTACGTACGTTTCCAAGGATAAAATGGTTCGAATAAAGTATACCCGATATCCGTATAATCGTTGGAGATAAGCGTTTGTTCGAGACGCGGAAAGAGGACGGGTGTTTGGCGAAAAGATGTTTCCTGCCGTCAAGCCTAATTCATATTCCGCAAGAAAGTTGGGTTAACGTCGGCAGGAATACCGGTAGGTGAAGGTCACCGCTGTCGTCCACTGGATGCCGATACCGTACTACCAGCAAATTCATGGCGCTGTAACGCGCAAGTCGACTTCCTGTCGATCGAGTCGCGATGTATCTTTCGAGTTATATCACGGTACACGCTATACGCGTTTCTCGTATTCTTTTCATCGCGTCACGGATATCGAGACGGAGTCTCGAGAAACGAGATATAAACCGCCTTCCTGCGACTCCTTCGTATTCCCCGATTATATCGCTCGGAGTTATGGATCGATTCGAGGATCTAGCGCGCGATATTGTTTTCCTTCTTTTTTCTCACAATTACATTTCGCATCGTTCTACGTCGAACGATTGCACGGTAAAGAAAAGCGAATCCACGAATCTTACACGTGATTGTTATCGTTAACGATAACCAACGAAGAAGAAGAAAATTTTTGCAAGAAACACGAATCGAGGAAAGTTTTTATCGGTGACAAAGTAGACAGACAAATTCAGTGCCACCGCGTACAGCCATAAGTTACGGGTACCTATAAGCTCGTGGCGATATCTTTGGGGACAGAGAAAAAGAGAAAAAGAGAGAAAGAGAAAAAGAGAGAAAGAGAAAAAGAGAAAAAAGAAAAGAAGCGGGAAGAAATTAGCGTATCCCGATGCAGCGGTTGCAGGGGAGAAACCTTTGCGCGTTGCGTACAACGTTATTGTATTCCCAGCACGTATAGGCAATGGGAGTTGGTTATTACGCCTACTTCCGGTGGTCGGTCCGTGGCACGGAGTCGCGTAAGCTTGAACGGGCTGCTCGAATATTTCGAGTACATCTTTCTCGAGCGATCAAATATTGGAAGGATCAGCGTGGACCAGCGCTTTTCCAATCGCGTGTATCGGGTAGCATCGGTTCGAAGCGCGTTGAAAATTGAAACTCGTCCCTGTACGAATCGAAAGTACAGCTCGGGCACGATTTCCAAACCGCTCGGAATCTCGGCGAAGAAAATATGTTATACCTGCACCAGCTGCGATTCGTGCGAAAGGCACAACCCACTATTCGAAAATATCGAAGAAGAACGCCAGTCCCAACTGGAATTTTAGAACAGCTGCAGAGACGCATACCTAACCGATACCCGGCCAGCCTTGCCTCGGGTCTACAGAAACGGTCGTAAACTCGATCCGACTCGATCCGACTCCACTTTGCTCAGTTCCTCTACGCTTCATACGAATCGGTCGATAGACAAAAATTGCCCTGATTTCCCTCGTATCCTAGTCGAATCCCGGTCGAATGCTATTCGAATCCTAATCGAACCCTAGTCGAATCGTAGTCGAAGCCTACCGAGTCCGTCCTCGTTTAACGAATAAAGGATAAAGTGGATGGAAAAAAGTCACTTTGGACGTTATATCGCGATATCGATGGAAAATAGGGAAGGAGAAAAATACGCGCGATTAAACTTGTTTTCCTCGAACGACCTACAACACGGATCGCCTAGCACCATTTCCTGCGGCAATAACCTTCTCTCCCCGTAGTCGAATTATCGTCGGTCGTCGCGTTTACCCGTGGTCGGATCGACAGGATACAGGTTCTTTAAAAGTAACCAAAGGCAATTAATTAAAGCCGGATGCGTTGATCGACCTCTGAATAAGTTTGTCAGGGTTCGAGCACCGGCTTGCCCTTTTAGTTTCAACTTCCGAGAGCTCGTTTCTTCGTCGGCGTTCAGCGCCCCAACCGCGCATCGGTCTCTCTTCTTCTTTCCTTGCACGAGGCATGAATTTCGGTGATTTTCGTTGCGAAGGGAAGGCAGCTCGGAAGAATAACTCGTACGGATAAACACGACGGATAGAAAACAGGAAGAACAAACGGTGAAACGATCGATCGGCGATACGGAGTTTCCGCGAAATCGATTACCGCTTGGAATTGCGGGTCGTCGAGGGGAGGAAACTTTACACCGATAGAGTATGTACGTGGTAGAGTATGACCGTGGCTTGGAGTTTTTACGCGTACAGGTATATAAGAAACGTAGGACAGTTCGTGTACGCGTATACGCGTATACGCTTATACGCGAGTAGGTAAGCAAGTAGACGCGTGATCGAGACGAATGGTTAGGGCAAAGCACGGAATTCGGCGTAACCGAGAGAGCGAGAAGTACTGCTTACTGCTCGGAAGAATCGAACGCCAAGTATATATACTGTTATATCACAGCGCGCGGCTAACTGTAAAAACATCGGCCAAGGTACTAGACGGATGCCTCT